AAACTATAGGACACGTATGTCAACACTACCCACTTTTTTCACAAAATTCAAGGGCTATAACTATGACAGCACAACTCACATTTACAAGTGAAATCTCAATGCACAACAACATATGTTGACCAACATTCTCGTAGGGTTCTTAACTCTGCTTCAAACACTGTTTAGCTACTCAGCCACACAAGTGAAAATTTCAAATTTTGATTTAGTAAAGGACAAAAACACTGGCATTACTGTGCAAATCCAAATGAAAACCTCACATGCACAACATTATATATGCTTACAAACATAGATATAACAATTCACATTGGTATAAACAACATATATGACAAGTTGAAAATTGCTTGTTTTGACTTAGTAAAGGGCAATAACTCTGATATAAATGCGGGAAATCGACAAGCGAAACCCAGTGTATATAACTTCATATGCTTAAAGTTTTATGACATTAGCCCAAATACTGCACAGGCGCACGGACAACTAAAATGTTTAAATCCCCCCTCCTCCATAAAAAGTCGATATTTTACCTTCAAGTCAATAATTTATTAATGTCCAAAATATTTAGCACATACTGGGTAAATTATAAGGAAAGCGGCGTTGACTTAAACAAATATATTGCTAATTTACGATGAGGATGTATCATTGATGCTAATGATGATGCTATTGTTGTTGTTGTTTTGATGATGATGATGATTATTATTAAACGTAGATGAAGGTAGGTTAAAACGACTATGATATTATTGGTTTACTGTGTAGAATGTGTGACATATACGTCAGGCATTTACTTCCAAATTGCAGAAAAGTATATGGCACATAAAGACAGCTGTGATTAATTCAATCGAATATGTCCCACACGTGTGACATATACGTTCCGTGACATATACGTTCCGTGACATATACGGTCCGTGACATATACGGTCCGTGACATATACGTTCCGTGACATATACGTTCCGTGACATATACGTTCCGTGACATATACGTTCCGTGACATATACGTTCCGTGACATATGTGACATATACGCTCCGTGACATATACGTTCCGTGACATATACGTTCCGTGACATATACGTTCCGTGACATATGTGACATATACGTTCCGTGACATATACGTTCCGTGACATATACGTTCCGTGACATATACGGTCCGTGACATTTACGGTCCGTGACATATACGTTCCGTGACATATACGTTCCGTGACATATACGGTCCGACAAAGCATGTAATTGATATTGAAACTCTTTGTATATATACATTTCTTTTTCTTGGCGACTTAAATCAGAATATGTTTAAACAATACTTTGAAATAAAAATGTCATGCAAAAATGCAGTAATAAATATAATTATATGACACTTATATACAAAGGGAGTAATCTTTAAGTAAAATGTCAGAAGATGAAATTAACATTAATCATATACTGTTTCAATAGATTGATTTATTTTAAGTGAGTATCTGTCGGTTTTTATTATGAAAAGCATTTAAGTTAGAAATAAACGTGTATTGAAACTAAGCTGCTCAAATCAAACAATGCATTGTTCGAGCGTCTGCTGTTGCTGTTGTTGATATTAGTGAACACCATAGCACCCATGACGGGTTGCGGTGAAGGTCATGTTACAGTTATTACAAAATATATTTGTATATATTCCAGGAACTAAAATCTTTAATTTTAGTAATAAATAAATGTAAATCAATAGTAGGAGTAGGTCGATGTCGATATTTATCCCTGCCAATAAAATTAGTAGAGAGGAAACAGTAAATCTGATTCCCTTTATATGAGGCCCGTCGTTTCTTCGTGTAACTTCAACAAGTATAAGAATTTAAAGTACATGGAACAGCTTTCCATCAAGGCATTAGGGCTGACAGTAAATGTTTATAAACACGATACTTTGACAATTTATGATCAAAAAGGTTTGTTGAGATTTACTCCGGGGAAAAAACCGCGCGCTTTCTCTTCTGGTTACATCAATTAAACACTTGCCTCGTAGTGAAATGATGATCAATGTAAAGGTAAAGCCTATAAATAACCATCCATTTCATATAATTAGCGTCATTAAGAAAATAAGTTGGATGACTTATAAAATACCAGACACTACGGTGGCATAGAGGTGACATTTGCAGTATTGTTTTATATCATGGCCACAACTATTATCTTGAAGCCTCAAGGCCACGAGATGAAAAAAATACTGCAAATGTTAAATGTCACTTCCATGTTACCGTAGTTTTCAGTTTGACTTTCTGTAAAATTTACAGGGAAGAACTGGATATAAGAAGAAATTTCATTGGTCATTTTAAAATTACAAAACGAAATACAAAATGTATGGGAATCTCATTGGCCATTCTAAAATAAAAGTAGAGGATAGTTCTTGTCCTTCCAAGATAGTTCTAAACTAAAATGTTCTAAACTAAAAAGGATAGTTCTTGCCATTATGAAATAAAATATAAAGGTAAGTTCTAACTAAAATGTTGTTACTTTTTATTACATTTTCTAGTGCGCAAAATAACGAGAATGATATCAGAACTTATCAGGTACCCTTAGTTTATGATGCTTTGTAACACCGCACTTTGGGGTCAAACGCACTTTGGGGACTGACCCTAAAGTGCGTTAAACTTCGCACCGCATTTTGGGGTCAAACGCACTTTGCGGTCAAAATCGAGAAATTGACCCCAAAGTGCGTTAATATGCTACATATCAACGCACTTTGGGTTCCAGAGGTCTACAGGTGTAATCTGAGTTCTGCTTAAATACTGAGTACTGACTTATTTTCGATCTGCGACATTGAAATATTTGAGGTGGAGTTCAAGATGGCGGTCAATACTTTGATGATGCTTAAGTGATAAAAGTTTCATTAATTTTACCACTTGAAATATCCAAAAATTGTGTTAATATAACAAAATTACGGTGGCATAAAAGTGACATTTGTATTTTGTTTAAGTTTTGCAAACATATTTTTATTAAAGTTTTGCATACATATTTTTTTTTTCAGTTTTGCATTCATATCTTTTCTTTTTTTTTTTTGAGTTTTACATTCATATTTTATTGTAGTTTTTCGTACATATTTTTTTTGTACATATTTTAGCCAACAAAACTGCCTTCACATCTCATAACAGCCCATAGTTGAGTATAAAACTAGCACAGTGGTTTGGTCACATTTCGGCCCATTTTTGGAATCGGTCAAGTCGTTTTTGGCCGCGCAAGTCTGGTTTCGGCCGACCTTTTTCGTCCCATTTTTTAAATCATATGTATTTTATATAATTATTGTTTTTTTTATTATTATTATATACTATTATAGTAGTGTCTATTTGGAAAGGGCTGTTGATTTGTGATCAGTTATTATTCCATGACTCACCACTCAACCCCACCCCTGAGAATAGCGGAGGGGGGGGGCATTGACTTTAAACCAAGCCGACCACTGGTAAATTCTTCGCCCTGCGAGGGATATTCAGATAATAACATTCTTGCCTTTGCCCAGGAACAGTGCAGACATCAAAACACGATTCTTTTTTAACCCGCACTCCCCCTGGGTCAAGGGAAGTGGTTACAAATGACTGGTGTATAGAGGATATTGAATGAGTGTAAGTTCCATACTGAATTTATTGCACTCGTTAAATAAAATAATATTATGCTCGCCAGAGGCTCGCATAATATAATTTTATTTAACTCGTGCAATAAATTCAGTATGGAACTTACACGAATTTAATATTCTATTTATCACATACCCAAAATAAAGACCGTTTAAAGTGAAATAAGAGCCATTTTTCATAGACGCGCCTATAGTATAACGCTAACATTTAGCGCTCTTTACCCTATGTTTGTATAACGCTAATGACGTCACGTCAAAATATATGCACGGCCGTGCAATACCATATTTACGGAGTCGCAAAATCGGCACGGGTGTGTGATAATAACAGGATATTTTTTCGTTTGCGTGAAATATGGAATATATTTTCACGAAACATGATAAAATGTCACATATTTTCACGAGCCGGTACGGCGAGTGAAAATATGTGGCATTTTATCATGTTGAGTGAAAATATATACCATATTTCACGAAAAACGAAAAAATAACCTTTTTATTTAATTTCATTATCAAAGAAAATGGTAACGAATCCCCTTGCTTGCTACCAACTGCAATTGTACAGCGCGCAGTAATTTATGCGTAAGCACGCGCTGTTTGGCGCTACATTGTGACGTCATGTAAACAATACTTTAAACGTCTGTACAGCGTTAATTACTGAATTAAAGATATTGGTGTTCGGATTAATTTTCTTAGTTAGACCATTTTCTATCATGCTAGATAGTTTTCAAAACAAAATTCAAGAAAAAGTTGTTTTGTATTTATCAGATTTTTCAAACAAAACGGCGAAAGAAGTCCCATAAAATAAATATGAGTTTTGACTCCGCCCACTTTCATATTTATATTTCATATTTATTTTTAAAAAATATGAAATATATTTGACTGATATAGCACCATATTTCATGGGTAAAATTAAATAAATAGAGGATATTGAATGAGTGTAAGTTCAATACTGAATTTATTGCACGAGTTGAATAAAATTATATTATGCGAGCCTCTGGCGAGCATAATATTATTTTATTCAACGAGTGCAATAAAGTCAGTAATGAACTTACACGAATTTAATATTCTATTTATCACTTACCCAAAATCAAGACCGTTTAAAGTGAAATAAGAGTCATTTTTTTATTGACGCGCCTATAGTATAACGCTAACATTTAGCGCGTCTTTACACTATGTTTGTATAACGCTAATGACGTCACGTCAAAATATATGCACGGCCGTGCAATACCATATTTACGGAGTCGCAAAATCGGCACGGGTGTGTGATAATAAGAGGTCAATACACGGAAGGAGAGGGCCGGAAGGTGATAATCGGCCCGCAAAATGAATAATGGACCCGAGGGCTTTAGCCTGAAGAGGTGAATGTAATAACTTTACCGAACTGTATTGATGAAGCAAAGATGATATGCAATAAACTTATTGTTTCAGGCCAAACGTGTGTAAATATCAAGAAGTTAGCATGGATTTAGTGCGAGTTCCTTGTGTTCAAGCGTTTACCAGAATGGTGAAAGTATGGAAGCCAAATTGTAGTTATAACAAACATTGGTGTATAGGATACGAGAGAAGGTACGTTGTATATTATATTATTATATATCTCATCACAGTAAAAAGATGAAATGGAACCTAGCTACTTCATCACAAAACTCAATTGCCTTATCTCAATACAATTTTGAAATGAGACGAAATTTTCTTGTCATATTACAATTCCATATTGACTCGTTGTTAACTTGTCAGATTAATATATTATGAGACGTCAATACTTTATCACATCACTATGTTCAAATTAGACGTGACTACCTTATCACAGCACTATGTTCAAATTAGACGTGACTATCTTATTACATCACTATGTTCGAATTACACGTGACTACCATATCACAGCACTATGTTCAAATTAGACGTGACTACCTTATTACATCACTATGTTCAAATTAGACGTGACTACATTATTACATCACTATGTTCAAATTAGACGTGACTACCATATCACATCACTATGTTCAAATTAGACGTAACTACCTTATCACAGCACTATGTTCAAATTAGACGTGACTATCTTATCACATCACTATGTTCGTATTACACGTGACTACCATATCACAGCACTATGTTCAAATTAGACGTGACTACCTTATCACAGCACTATGTTCAAATTAGACGTGACTACATTATTACATCACTATGTTCAAATTAGACGTGACTACTTTATCACATCACTATGTTCGAATTACACGTAACTACCTTATCACAGCACTATGTTCAAATAAGACGTGACTATCTTATCACATCAAAATGTTTGAATTACACGTGACTACTTTATCACAGCACTATGTTCAAATTAGACGTGACTATCTTATTACATCACTATGTTCGAATTACACGTGACTACCTTATCACACAGCACTATGTTCAAAATAGACGTGACTATCTTATCACATCACTATGTTCGAATTACACGTGACTACCTTATCACAGTACTATGTTCAAAATAGACGTGCATACATTATCACATTACTATGTTCGAATTACACGTGACTACCTTATCACAGCACTATGTTCAAATAAGACGTGACTATCTTATCACATCAAAATTTTTGAATTACACGTGACTACCTTATCACAGCACTGTGTTCAAATTAGACGTGACTACCTTATCACATCACTATGTTCGAATTACACGTGACTACCACATCACAGCACTATGTTCAAAATAGTCGTGACTACCTTATCACATCACTATGTTCGAATTACACGTGACTACCTTATTACATCACTATGTTCAAATTAGATGTGACTATCTTATCACATCACTAGGTTCAAATTAGACTATACTATCTTATTACATCCCTATGTTCGAATTACACGTGACTACCTTATCACAGCACTATGTTCAAAATAGACGTGACTACCTTATCACATCACTATGATTGAATTTCACGTGACTACCTTATTACATCACTATGTTATAATGAGACGTAGCTATCTTATCACATTACAATGCTGACATAACACATGGTTTTCTTATTATTTTACGATGCTGAAATTACACGTGGTTTTCTTATCACATTGCAAAGCTGAAATGAGACCCAACTTCCTATATCATTATTCTCTATAGACACGTGGTTACTTTATCACATAATATATCACTAATTATCATATTATCATGCCGAAATGACACACATGCATATCACATTGCAATGCTGAAAAATGTGACTGAACTACCTTATCATATTACAATGCAGAAAGAAATGAGACGTTATAATGAGACGTAACTTCATTATCACATGACAACGATTCAATGAGACATTACTTCCTTATTATATTACAATGCTGAAATGAGACTTGGTTTCTTTATCACATTACAATACTGAAATAAAACGTAACAATCGCATTTATACTGAATAACCCGTGGTTTCCTCAATACATTACAATGCTGAAATAACACGTCACAATCGTATTATACTGAATAACACGTTGTTTTCCTAGATACATTACAATGCTGAAATAACACGTCACAATCGTATTATACTAAATAACACGTTGTTCTCCTTAATACATTACAATGCTGAAAAAAGACGTAACAATCGTATTATACTGAATAACACGTGGTTTCCTTAATACATTACAATGCTGAAAAAAGACGTAACAATTGTATAATACTGAATAACACGTGGTTTTCTTTATACATTACAATGCTGAAAAAAGACGTAAAAACCATATCACATTTCAATGATGGATGACACATGGTGTCCTTATCACATTGAAATGATGGCAGACATGAGACGTAGCTTTCTTATCACGTTATTTTTTCATAATGAGACGTAGCTTCATATCACATTATTTTGTTATAATAAGACGTAGCTTGCTTATCATGTTACTTTGTTATAATGAGACATAGCCTCTTATCTCGTTACTTTGTTACAATGAGACGTAGCCTGCTTATCATGTTACTTTGTTAAAATAAGACGTAGCCTGATTATCATGTTACTTTGTCATAATAAGACGTAGCCTCTTATCACGTTACTTTGTTACAATGAGACGTAGCCTGTTTATCACGTTACTTTGTCATAATATGACGTATCCTCTTATCTCGTTACTTTGTTATAATAAGACGTAGCTTGCTTATCATGTTACTTTGTCATAATAAGACGTAGCCTCTTATCTCGTTACTTTGTTACAATGAGACGTAGCCTGCTTATCATGTTACTTTGTTAAAATAAGACGTAGCCTGATTATCATGTTACTTTGTCATAATAAGACGTAGCCTCTTATCACGTTACTTTCTTACAATGAGACGTAGCCTGTTTATCACGTTACTTTGTCATAATAAGACGTAGCCTCTTATCTCGTTACTTTGTTACAATGAGACGTAGCCTGCTTATCATGTTACTTTGTCATAATAAGACATAGCCTCTTATCTCGTTACTTTGTTACAATGAGACGTAGCCTGCTTATCACGTTACTTTGTCATAATAAGACGTAGCCCTTATCACGTTACTTTGTTAAAATAAGACGTAGCTTGCTTATCATGTTACTTTGTCATAATAAGACGTAGCCTCTTATCTCGTTACTTTGTTACAATGAGACGTAGCCTGCTTATCATGTTACTTTGTCATAATAAAGACGTAGCCCTTATCACGTTACTTTGTTAAAATAAGACGTAGCTTGCTTATCATGTTACTTTGTCATAATAAGACATAGCCTCTTATCTCGTTACTTTGTTAAAATAAGACGTAGCCTGCTTATCATGTTGCTTTGTCATAATAAGACGTAACCCTTATCACGTTACTTTGTTAAAATAAGACGTAGCTTGCTTATCATGTTACTTTGTCATAATAAGACGTAGCTTGCTTATCATGTTACTTTGTTACAATGAGTCATAGCCTGCTTATCATGTTACTTTGTCATAATAAGACGTATCCTCTTATCTTGTTACTTTGTTTCAATGAGACGTAGCCTGCTTATCATGTTACTTTGTTACAATGAGACGTAGCCTGCTTATCACGTTACTTTGTCATAATAAGACGTAGCCCTTATCACGTTACTTTGTTAAAATAAGACGTAGCTTGCTTATCATGTTACTTTGTCATAATAAGACGTATTCTCTTATCTCGTTACTTTCTTACAATGAGACGTAGCCTGCTTATCACGTTACTTTGTCATAATAAGACGAAGCCCTTATCACGTAACTTTGTTAAAATAAAGACTTAGCTTGCTTATCATGTTACTTTGTAATAATAAGACGTATCCTCTTATCTCGTTACTTTGTTACAATGAGACGTAGCCCTTATCATGTTACTTTGTCATAATAAGACGTAGCCCTTATCACGTTTCTTTGTTACAATGAGACGTAGCCTGCTTATCACGTTACTTTGTCATAATATGACGTAACCCTTATCACGTTACTTTGTTAAAATAAGACGTAGCTTGCTTATCATGTTACTTTGTTACAATGAGTCAAAGACTCTTATCATGTTACTTTGTCATAATAAGATGTAGCCTCTTATCACGTTTCTTTGTTACAATGAGACGTAGCCTGCTTATCACGTTACTTTGTCATAATATGACGTAACCCTTATCACGTTACTTTGTTAAAATAAGACGTAGCTTGCTTATCATGTTACTTTGTTACAATGAGTCATAGCCTGCTTATCATGTAACTTTGTCATAATAAGACGTAGCCTCTTATCACGTTTCTTTGTTACAATGAGACGTAGCCTGCTTATCACGTTACTTTGTCAAAATATGACGTAACCCTTATCACGTTACTTTGTTAAAATAAGACGTAGCTTGCTTATCATGTTACTTTGTTACAATGAGTCATAGCCTCTTATCATGTTACTTTGTCATAATAAGACATAGCCTCTTATCTCGTTACTTTGTTACAATGAGACGTAGCCTGCTTATCACGTTACTTTGTCATAATAAGACGTAGCCCTTATCTCGTTACTTTGTGAAAATAAGACGTAGCTTGCTTATCATGTTACTTTGTCATAATAAGACGTAGCCTCTTATCTCGTAACTTTGTTAAAATAAGACGTAGCCTGCTTATCGTGTTACTTTGTCATAATAAGACGTAGCCCTTATCACGTTACTTTGTAAAAATAAGACGTAGCTTGCTTATCATGTTACTTTGTCATAATAAGACGTATCCTCTTATCTCGTTACTTTGTTACAATGAGACGTAGCCTGCTTATCATGTTACTTTGTTACAATGAGACGTAGCCTGCTTATCACGTTACTTTGTCATAATAAGACGTAGCCCTTATCACGTTACTTTGTTAAAATAAGACGTAGCTTGCTTATCATGTTACTTTGTCATAATAAGACATATTCTCTTATCTCGTTACTTTGTTAAAATAAGACGTAGCCTGCTTATCATGTTACTTTGTCATAATAAGACGTAGCCCTTATCACGTTACTTTGTTAAAATAAGACGTAGCTTGCTTATCATGTTACTTTGTAATAATAAGACGTATCCTCTTATCTCGTTACTTTGTTACAATGAGACGTAGCTTGGTTATCATGTTACTTTGTCATAATAAGACGTAGCCTCTTATCACGTT